AGGGTACAAGTAGAGGTTAGGGGTTCAGAGTGATTGGACTTTTTGGGAGGGATGGATCAGAGGTCTCTGAGGAATCAGGGGTTCTGGGTGTAAGGTCTTGGGGGTGGAGGGTGAGGGTAGTCCCTGGGTGGGGGTTTGGAGCCAGGCTAATTCTCACCGAGGTGCCAGACACCCATGGAATGGGCACATGGTTGCTGACCACCCAGTAGCCATCAGAGAGTGCAGCCACATCTGGGTAGGCACGGCCGCTGGCATTGAAGTAACTGGATGGTGGCAAGTGGGGACTGGAGCTCAGGTACTGGGCTACAGCTTCCTCCTAAAAGGCATTCTTGAGTGAGTATCCTCTGCTGAACTGAGGATCCCACCCGTCCCCCCTCCATCCACACAAACACACACATACCTGGTATGAAGGCCGTGGGAACACATTGCTGAAGCCGCCACCACTGATATAGTCAACAACCTCATCTGTGACTCGGAAAGGATTCTGGAAGGATGTGCCTCCCACCGTGGTGACATAGGGGCTGAGGACAGAAGACAGCATTCAGATTGCAGGGTCCAAAGGGCACCTCCAAAATGCATGGGGATGGGTGAGTATGGGTCTGGGTCTTGCTGGAGGGACTGGGGAAGCACTCTGGTGAAGCATGTACATGGGGATGACTGAGAGATCTTGGGTCCTCAAAGCATGGCCTGAGGTGACTGCACACTTTTTCCTACGGGACACCCACCAAATCTCCCCCTAAAATGCCTGGAGACTGAGGAAGTGGAACACTGGGAGCTATGTCCTACTCAGGAGACTCGGGGCCTGCGACCTACAGGAAGAAGAGGGGGGTGCAGGTAAAGTTGAGGGTTGGGCCACGGGAGCACCTGGTGTGATCAAGACAAAGGTTCCAAATCATGAGGACATAGATGAATTGGTGGCCACAGGTAAGTGGTGGGCTGGGGTGCTTACCTGGAGGCAGGGAAGCTGGGACGGAACCGGTGTCTTCCCAAGACAGACCAACACCCAGCCCCACTGTCACCTGGGAGAGAGACCAAGTTTGCCACTCAGTTTAATTGGTCAGAGTTTGGAATGTGGGTTCATATGTCGGAGAGGAAATTCAAGTGTTAGTCATTACTGCAAGAGGTCAGTTGAGGTCAGGTCAGTGGTCCCTGTTGAGTTCAGATTATGAGATAGAGATCAGGTCCAGGAGTCACTGCGGGGCCAAAGTTCTGAGGCTGGGTGGGTGTGGGAGTCTAAGTTTAGAGTAGGAGGTCACCTGAGGCAAAGAGCAGAGTAAGACCCCGAGCAGCAGCCTTCATGAGCTCGGTGTTGACCCGCTGGATGTAGGCGCTGCTGAGGGAGTCCTCATCATCTCCGTAGCTCACGGTGTGCACATGTGGCAGGGCTGACTCATTACTGAGCAGCAGGAGCCACTGCAGGAAGGGCTCCTGTGACTCATGCCGGCCTGAATTGTTTTTGGAGAAGAGGGCACAAAGGCAGTCATTTGGGAGGTTGTCAGGATCTCCCTGGAGCTCACGGGATTCCCTTGGGGAAGCAAAGACCACCACTCACCCCCACCTCTATCCCCACCAGCCAGTCCCCTTGGCAGTACCAGGGCTACTGTAGACCCAGGTGGAGATGTTGGCGCCAGCACTCATCAGGTACTCTACATCTAGGCTGGCCTCGATTCCGGCCCGGCCCCGGCCCTGCTGTCCGACCACACGGGCTACTGATGCCTGGTGTGCAAAGTTCCCACCGAAGAGGCGCATGAACTCAGCCAGGTCTGACTCATGGAAATACTGCTCCAGGAACTATGGAGGGAATCAGAGCAGATATCATGGGTCAGAGGACACAGCCCCAAGGGTCAGGTCAGGGGATACTGTCCCAGATCACAGGATTGAGGGTGAGAGCCCAGGGGTTAGAGTCAGAGAGTCAGCCCCAGGCTGGTCAGGCACCTTGGGGAGGTGGTAAGGACCCTGAGGCTCTCCGCATGGCTCACCTGGGCACAGGCTTGACTGTTGTTGGTCGTGCCAGAGCCCACGTCTTGTGCCGTCAAGTTGTACCGCTCACGGATCACAGATGGGGTCACCCCCAGGTGTAGGCCAACAGTCCCTGGCACCTGTGGCTCGGGCCGTTGCCTCAGGGTTGATGTGGGGGGAAAGCGGTGCAGCCCCCCCACTGTGGGGAGGAGTCAGCCTTGAGGAAGAGATCCTTTAGCCTCCAACCCCCCATTTTATCACTGCCCCCCCCCCCCCGCCACCAACCCCACTGCGTGTTACCAAAGTCCACGTGGGAGGCCAAGGCCTTCGGGAGCCGGTAGGGACGTGGGGACCTTACAACATGGGTCTCTGCAGGTCCCCCCATATAGTGATGAAACTCAGCCCCAGAGAGCAGCAGCTCTGCTTGTCTGAAGTCAGAGATCAGAGAACAGAGGTCAGAAAGCATGGAACAGAGCTGAGGAGGCTGCCTGAGCATCACGGGGCAGTTAGTCGTTATCTCCCCTAGTGTTTTCACCCACAGGCCCTGGCAAGCTCTCAGCTCCCTTCCACTGCGGTGACGAATCTCCCTGATGGGATGATTGGTGCCCTCCATGAGGCAATTATTCCCTCTTACCGGACACTCAGCCAGCAAGTCAGAAAGTCCTGTGTGGTCACTGAGTGGCAGTTCCGGGCTCCAGCAGCCAAAAGCCATTTTTGGACTGTGTGGAGGGTCAGTGGTGATGGCCGGACCAGTTCAGCCACATCCTCTAGGGTCAGGTACTTTCCTGCAGGGATTCAGTAGAGGCTCTTGCCTTCATTCCTTGCTTTTCTAAGTTGCCCTTTTTGAACTTTAACCAGGAGACACTGGAGGTTAACACGATGGCGAGTCCCTGCTCTCCTGTGTGGATCATGCATACACCTCCCGGGTGAACCTTAGACTGCCCCCCTCACCACGAAGGGCTTCCAGCAGGGGAAGCCCACAGTCCAGCTTGACCATTGGAGCAAACCATGGACCTTCTGGAGCATAGTGGGGGGTAAGGTGGGGAGAAGAGTGGAGGGGAAGAGACTGTAGACCAGCGAGGGGGCTGGCAGCAGTCATCAGCTGAGTTGGGGGCAACAAGGAATGGTGAGACAGTGGAGTATTTCAGAGCTGGAGCCGGCAGCCTTAGGGTCGAATGGAGGAGTAAATGAGAGTGAATTTAGTGGGGGGAGGTGAAATTTGAGGTAATGAGCACTTATATGTACTGGATGCTACTTCCCCATTTGTCTGGTAGTTGGTAAATAGTAGAGTCAGAATTTGAATCCAGATCTGATCACCAAGCCTGTGCTCTTAACCATACCCACTTTCAGTTTTTGAGCCTGATGAACATAGGTGGAAAGTTTTGGAGGAAAGAATGTGAATTAGCTTTGGACACTCTAGTTCCAATTCACCTTTTTATTCAGAAGCTCTTTAATGAGGGTCACTGCCATTCATCTGTCCTATACCACCCCCTCGACAGGCCCCAAGAGCACATCCCTGACATGACCTGCACCGTCCCACACTCAGCCCAGTCCTGTGTCCCTTTACTGCATCCCACATCCCGCCCCCAGTCCCATCAGGCACCATAGCGAGAAGAGCCGGGATCCGACACAGCCTGCACCAGCTCGGACAGTCTCTCCAGGTTCTGCTGTCTCAGGGCAAACGTGAGACTCAGCTCTTCCTCAGGGTCCGCACGGCCCAGAGACACCCAGCCTGGTGGCAGCCTGTAGGGTCAGGGGTCAGGCACATGGCCTTCATTAGAAGGTTCACCATGAGAACCTAGAACTTGGGGAGGATTCCAGAAGCAGATATGGATCACAGGAGGTGGATTATCGGGGACTGAATCTGGGAACCTGGGAATAAGGCTATGGAGTGGGTACCAGGAGCTGGTAAGGGGGGTGAGGGAGGCTAGAACCAGGAAAACGGGTACAGGAGAGGCCATGGGGTAGGGGTTGTCAGTGCTAAGTCAACTCACGTCCACTGCTGGTCAGGCTCCGGGCTGTAACTGCATTTGCCGGCGACAAAGAGGGCAAGGAGCCCTAGGAGGCTGCAGGGGCAGCACATGGGTTTCAGCAGGAGCTGGACTGTCATTATGTTCCCACCCTCCAACATATACTCCCTCCAACATGATTCCCTTCTCCCAGGGCCCCCCTGATTTCTTACCAGCCTCGGGGGCCCATTCTGCCTTTCTGCAGATCCGCTGTCATGTGACAGATCACATGAGCCCTATAGTGCACCACCACCTCCCGTCTCTGCCTGGAAACTAGTGACGATGCTGGCTCCTCCCTTGAATGGGTGGTCCTGAATGCTGAAGAAGGGGAGGGGCTGCTCCTCGGATTCTCCCTCTGTGGACTGTCAAACACTGGGTAAGCTCAGGGCTCCCCACCTGCTGCCAGAATCCAGGACTCACCACAGTGTAGGGGGTGCTTCAGAAAGGGGCTTTGGAGGCCCACAGACCCAGGTTCTTACTAGCTGTCCGGAGCCTAGGTTTCTTCATGTAGAATATGGAGACTATTATGTTAAAAGTGCTCTGCCTCAGAGGGTTGCCGTGAAAAGTTACAGAGATAAAGCAGGTGGACCCCTCAGCAGAGAGCCTCACACGGCAAAGGCTCAACAAATGTGTGCTCTTATTACACGCGAGTATATAGGGGCCCCGCGGAAAACAAATACACCACGTGGCTGCTCTTGTACCCACCCCCACCTCCCTGAAGACCCTCAGGCCTAGAGCTGGTCATCTCCAAGATCTCTCCCCAGCCAGCCAACCCCTCTCTAGGTCACTGCCACAAGCAAGCCCCTGCTGTCTGCCGTCTTCTGGCCTCCTGCCCACGTTAGAGGGAAAGGTCAACTGCAGAGATGTCATAGCCTCAGGTTGGGCTCGGGCTCCCAGTGCCATTCCCACTCGCTCCCACCCTAGATGCCCCTGTGTCCACCAGCTTCTGTGACTCCTGAGGTGTCCACAGTGTGCCAGGTGGCTTCCCATCATCCCCCCACCCCTACGGCCCCCACAGAACAGAGCCGGACACTGGGTACAAACTGCAGTTTATTAAGGCTCCAGAGTGAGAATTGGCACTTGATTCTGGGCAGGGGCAGGGGTGTCAGTGGAACCCAAAGGAGCTGGGCCCAAACAAGTTAGAGGGACTGCCCCCATTCCCCCTACCCCCCAATAAATAAAGTCTCAGCTCCATCTCAGGGTGCTGGCACAGGGCAAGAAGCCCTCACTGAGGAGGACCCAGGGCTGCTGCCTCCTTCATCATCTTTCTCTCCACACTGGACCCGGCCACAGGTCAGTGCCCAACAGGGCCTCGTGGTGCTGGTGCTCTGACAGGGCTGGGGTGAGACGTGAGACCTGTCCCCACTGGAGGACTCTGGGGTGGGGATCTGGCCTCCCCCGCGGCCAATCATGGTCCGAGGCTGCCCAGGGCAGGCTCAGATGGGGCCTGCATTGGGGACACTGTGCGCATCCCAGGTCGGGGCCCAGCCTGGGCCACAGCTAGATATGCAGCTCCGTGTCATCGGGTGGCTCCAGGCCGGACTCTGCACTCAGTGCTGAGGCTGAGGGGCCCTGGGCCACCCCAAATGGTGAGACAACAGGTGAGCGAGCAGCCAGAGGAGACAGTGAGGGTGAGAAGCTGGGGGACATGGCAGCTGAGGACAGGGAACCTTCATGGCTGATGGGGGAGCGGTGAGAGGCTGGTGGGAAGATGGCCCGGGTTGTAGCCGTGCTGGCTGGCTTGGGGGGCACAGACTTGGCTCCTGGGTGGGCCACGGCAGTGATGAGGGGTGGTGGGTCAATACGGGGAGCCGGGGGACACGGCCGAGCCTCATCCTTGAGCCGGGCGATCTCTGTGAAGACGCTGGCCAGCGGCTGGAACTGAGGGCACCAGCTCAGCAGGTAGTCCCAGTTATAGCTGCCACGGAGCTCCTCCTCCCCAGCCACAATGGCCGTCAGTGCTCCTGCCACACATGGCTTGCCATCTGCTGGAAAGCCATAGTCCCCAGTGGGTGCAGGGCTTAGGCCACAGCCCCCCAAGAAGGCTGTGGCAGCGGCTGGGGGGCCCTCCTCTCGGTACAGAGTGGCCCCTGCACCCGGCAGCAGCAGCCCTGCCTTGCGGCCCTTATACCAGGTGTCGGGGGCAGGTGGCTCGCAGGATGTGTCACTCAGTCCATCTGCATCCTGCTGGATGCCGGAGTCAGGGCCACGGGCAGCCAGAGAGGAAGCCACACTGGCCACACGGGGGAACTCGTTGATCATGCGGATCTCGTCATCCTCTGCGGCCTCCGCTGAGCCTCGGCCACTTGAGTGTGAAGGGTCCAGGGAGCCACCGCGGGGGTAGGGTCCTCCAGCTCCTGGCCCACCATAGCTGGGGAGAGTCTGGTGATACAGGTGCTCTGAAGGCGGTGGGCTGGGTGGCTCTCGGCCCAGCTTCTGTAGAGAGCCACTGGCCAGGGGTGCTGCCTGTGACATTGGGCCAGGTGCCGCCTCAGCCTTGCGGCTCCGGGCCCGCACCAGCCCTAGGACCAGGGCTGCCAATGCGAGCACCACCACGACTCCCAGGGAGGCCGCCACAGCCCCCACCAATAGCAGGTTGAGGTCAGGTGCCAGGCCCAGTGCAGTGTGGGTGATGTCCACAGTTACAGGCACTGTGGCACTCCGGGAACCAGGCAGAGGCCCCCGTGCTACCACCTCCAGCCTCAGCTCCCGTGGTGCCTCACGTCGGGTCCGGCCCCCACCCCCAGAGGTGCCTGTTCCGCTGCCTGGTGCCCGGCTGTCCACCCGCAGGTACAGGGCACCTGTAGTCTGGTTGATACCAAAATAGGGGGAAGAGGTGGCAAGGGAATAGAGCACCAGGCCATCAGCACCTCCATCCTCATCTGTGGCCTGCACGTGACCCAGGCTGTGGCCACGCCGGGCACCTTCCGGCACTTGGAAGTGGAAAGCTGGAGCCAAGAATACTGGGTCATATTCATCCTCACCAGTCACCAGCACTGACACAGTGACTGAGGCTGACAAATTCCCAGCATCGGTAGCACCCACCAGCAACTGGAAGCTTCCTGTGTGCTCATAGTCAAAGGCCACTCGTGCCCGCAACTCCCCTGTTGAGCTGTTCAGCGCAAATGCCTCACGGCCCTCAGGCCCTGGCCCAGCCTCCAGCAGGTTGTAGCGGAGCCTTCCGAAAGCCCCAGCATCGCCATCAGTTGCATGCAGAGTAGTCACGAGAGTGCCTGGAGGCTGGTTCTCTGCCAGGCTGGTGCTGAGCAAGCTCAGAGGGAAGGCTGGCCTGTGGTCATTCACATCCTGGACTTCGATGGTCACTGGTGCCAGAGCAAAGTGTGCCCCGGCAGGGTCGGCAGCCCGCACGACAAGCTGATGTCGAGCCTGGGTCTCACAGTCCAAGGGGTGGGCCAGTCGCAAGTCACCCGAGCTCTCATCCAGCTGAAAGAGCCCAAAAGGGTCGCCTGAGCTGAGGGTGAAACGCACAAGGCCATGCGGGCCTGGGTCAGCGTCGGAGGCCTCCACGTGCAGCAGCTCGGCTCCAATAGGTGTGTCCTCGGGTACTGCCACACGGTAGGATGCTCGGGTGAAGACAGGTGGGTTATCATTGACATCCAGCACAGTGACGGTGACCGGCACAGCCGAGCTTCGAGGTGGCTGCCCCCGGTCAGCTGCAGCCACAGTTAGATTGTACTGGGTTAGGCTTTCGAAGTCTAGAGGCTCAAGCAACACCAGGCAGCCCAGGGCCCGGGGGCCTAGTCCATCACCCTCCCCAGTCTCAGCCAGCCGGGGTTCCAGCTGGAAGACTCGGCCCCGGTTGCCACTGACAATGCTGTAGTCCACGGCGGCGTGGGTGCGGCTTCCGTCGGCATCTGTGGCCTCCAGGGTGAGCAGGGTGGAACCAGGGGGCAGATCCTCAGTTACTGCCACACGGTAGTGTGACAATGTGAAGCTCGGGGTGTGGTCGTTCTGGTCCTGCAGCTGCACGTGCACTGTGGTGCGTGCGGCCCGAGCCGGCGTCCCATGATCTCGTGCTTCCAGCACCACGTCCACCACTCCTGGCCCTTCATGGCCCAAGGCCATTGTCCCCACTGTTGTGAACAAGGTCCCTGAGATGAGAAGGGAATGAAGAGAAATATGCCATCAGCAGAGGCTGTGGGTGAGCAGAGTGACCCTTCGAGTACTGGGAAATGGCCTCGGAAGTCAGACTCCAGGGAGTGGCCTGTGTGCTAGGAGATTACAGAGGGGCCTCCAGGATTCAGAGAATGGCTTCTAGGCATGCAGTCAGGACAGTGCTTAAAACAGAGACAAAGGGCAGAAAATGTCCTCCCTGGGTCAGAGATCTAGGAGTTAAGAGTTCAGGCAAGAAATTCCAGGAATGAGGTCAAAACATGGCCCAGCACAGTCAAGAATAAGGGGTAGATCCCAGGAAGGACGCACCGTTGTTGGGGTCAACACTGAAGCCCTCAGCAGGGGAAGCCAGGTGGTAGGAGACATGACCATTGGCACCTGAATCCCGGTCAGTGGCAGAGACGGAGAGAATGGCACTGCCTGGGGGTGTGTGCTCAAGCAGCATCACCTGAGGTGTGAGGACAAGGGTTTAAGGCCAAGCGTTCCAGCTGCCCACTCAGCCTATGTTCTGGAGCTTGGTCTCATGAGCTCTGCTTGCCATCCGTCCCAGCCTGGAGCCCATCCACCCCTTAGAATTTGGATTGCGCACCTTCCCCCATTTGTGGGCACCGGATGAAGAACCTGGACACAGTTCCCAGGACTTATAAGGCTGGTCTTATATCCCCAAAGATCCGTCCCCACGTCAGTTCTGACATCCAGCCCACCTCAGATCCTTCTAGCCTTGTCACTCCCCTCCGTTGTGAACAACCCTGGGCCCAGAGGTGGGGGCGTCAGTACCTGGTAGAGGGTCTGTGAGAAGGCGGGTGCATTGTCATTGACATCCTCCACGAGCACCGTGAGGTTGGCACGGCCCTCGTGAGGCCCGTCATGTGCCAGGAGCTGCAGGTGGTAGCGGTCACGCTGCTCGAAATCCAAGGGGCCCGTGAGGGAGAGGCGGCCACCATAGCGGCCTACACTGAAGGGATCCTGGGGCCCAGAAGGGCTCAGCACATACCACAGTACTGGTCCTGAGTCCACATCATTCCCTGTTACCTGTGCAATCTCTGAGCCCAATAGTGCATCTGCAATACATGGGACAAGTGCGTTTGGCATGGTCCCAGAGGCCCCTGGAGCCCCAGAGTGGGGAAAAGTGCTTCCCTACCGCCCTTTGTACCTCTCACTTTACCCAGTCCTCACCTTCCGACACTCGGAGCTCCCAGGGCTGGGGGATGGTGGGGCGATTGTCATTGGTGTCGATGACCATCACCGTCAGGGTAGCTGAGCCCACCAGGGCTGGGCTTCCTCTGTCTGTGGCCATCAGCACCAGCCTGAACACAGAGCACAATCGGGGTGGGGCCTGGGGATAAGGGAGAACCTTGGGCAGGGATAGGAGGGCTCAGGACAGGCTGGGGGGTGGGGAACTCAAGACGTGGCCTAGGGATTGAAGGGGATTCCATGCAGGGCTCAAAACTGGATGGACCTGGGATGGAGTCTCAGGGTCTACAGACCCAAGCCTCACCGTGTTTCGGCCCAGATCTCACGGTCCAGGATAGCTGTGGTAGTGATAGTGCCTGTGGCTGAGTCTACATGGAACAATCCCCGGGCTGGCTGGGATGCGGCCAGACTGTAGGAGATCTGTCCACTGGGGCCTTGATCCAGGTCATCTGCTTCGACCTGGTGAAAGTAGGAGGCTGCTGGCACTGGGCTGGCCACAGACAAAGTCCGCCCAGCCCTGCCCCCCATCTTCCCATCACACCCCACACCTGCAGCAGGGGTCCCTCCAAGGGCCTGGACTCAGGCAAGAAGGCCACGTAGTGGGGCCGCAGGAAGCGGGGAGCATTGTCATTGGCATCTTGCAGCGTTAGGGTCAGCACGGAGAAGGCAAAGGCTCCTCCACTCTCCGCCTGCAGCACCAGTCGCAGCCGTGGGTTTGCCTCAAAGTCCAGCCCCTCTGCTGAGCGAACCGTGACGGCTCCTGGAGGGAGGTGGAATGTATCACTGACAGACCTCTTGCTTGCCCTAGAGCCTCCTGTCTGAGGCCCGCTACTCAAGGGCAGCATCTCCCCAACCAGAGACTCCTCGGGCCCAAAGAGGACCCCCGCCAGGAGCCCGTCCCCTCACAGAGCCCCCTGCTCCCGCCCCTTACCTGTACTAGGCTGGATGGAGAAGGTCCCTTTCTCATTCCCACTGAGAATGCTGTATGTGATGGGTCCACTTGAGCCCCCTGTATGGATAGCCTTGGGGGAGACAATGGGGGTCCCTGCAGAGGGGATGATATTGGTTGAAATGTGAGCACTAGACTGAGGGAGTCTGGGGACTATTTTTAGTTAGTAACCCCAACCCATCCAGGGATACAAAGCTGGGAGACATGGTTGGGCACCCACCTGGGGGTGCATTCTCACGGAGCATGGCTTCGCTACTAGCCCGGGGAAAGCGGGGTCCACGCTCAGACTCTCCCTGCAGCCCAACAATGACCACACCAGTGGCAGAGCGAGCTGGACGGCCAAGGTCGGTTGCCACGATGAAGAGGACACGATCCTGGGGACCCACGGATACAGGGGAGCGGGCCACACGGATTTCACCAGTGTAAGAGTCCACAGTGGTGCCAGGAAGTGGTGTGCCTGCCAGCCGGTATAGGATAGAGGCATTGGCACCAGCGTCACGGTCTTCAGCTCGCAGAGTGGCCAGAGCCAGGGTTGGGGTACTGAGGCTAGGGCCTGGGCGGGGCAGGCGCAGCCTCAGGGGACTGGTGGGGAAGGTGGGCGCGTGGTCATTGACGTCGCGCACCATGATGGTGACAGGCACCGTGGTGCTTAGGGGTCCAGCAGCCGCACCATCCACTGCATTCACGGTAAAGGCATAACTGGGACACTGCTCTCTGTCCAGGGCTGCGGCTGTGCGCAATTCCCCAGAGCTGGGCTCCAGCAGGAAGGCTCCTGCTGCACCTGCACCCAGGTAGTAGGTCACGCGGCCATTGGGCCCAGCGTCAGGATCATGAGCCTGTAGCTGCAGCAGCAGGGTCCCTGCGGGTGCATCCTCAGGCACCTCCACAGAGTAGGCAGGCACAGGGAAGGCGGGGGCATGGTCATTAGCATCCAGCACTGTCACTGTCACAAACAGAGTAGCACTGAGAGCTGGCTGGCCTCCATCCCGGGCTTCTATCTGCAGCTGGAATGCTGGCTCCACCTCCCGGTCTAGTGGCCTCATGGTGCCAAACTCCCCTGAAGCTAGGTCCAGAACAAAGGCTTCTGATGGGTCCCCATCTGCAGAGAAGGGCATGCACACATAAACATACATGTGTCAGCCCATGGGAGTGGGGGTGATTTACAGGCAGCCTGGCAAAGAAAGAGAAAGAGAGAGGGAGAGAGAAAAGAGGGAAAGTGGGATAAAGGCAGAGAAACAAAGAGAAACACAGAAGGTAAAGAAAGATACCGCAAAGTAGCTTTTCTAAGAGTGTGGTCTGCAGACCCCAGGGATTCCCCTGAGACCCTTTTGGGGAGTACATAAGATCAAAACTATTTTCATAGTAATACTAAGACATTGTATGACTTTTTCATTCTCATCAACTCACAAATGCAGAGTGGGGTCCGGATGCTACATGACATGTGATGACATCATGACTTGGATGGTTAATGGAATGTGTGTGCTTGTGTAGTCTTGTGTTTCCCAGAATATTCTAGGTAGAAAGTTTAGAGCATAAATACGTGTTGTTTTCAGAGATTCACTCGTTTTTGCTGGCTTGTGTTCGGTTATACATGCTGTAATCTTTGTAACCTCATTACTGTCCAACAAATTGTTAGTTGAAACCCTAACATTTCCTTGGGCCTACGCAGAAATACGGCAAGTAGTATACTTCATTGGCTTGTTTTGCAATGATATTTTAAAATTTTCTCATCTTTAATGTCGAATATTGTAAATACTGATATAATTTGTTTACTATATATTTTATATATTAAATTATTATTTCACATTTTATTATATCAATAAATGCTGATATCATATAAGCCAAAGTTCTTTACAGTTCTCAAAAATTAAGAATGTTAAGGGTTCCTGAGACGAAAAAGTTTGAGAACAACTGCTCTACAGGGAGAGACAATCAAGAAAGAAAAAGAAAGAAAAGAAACAAAAAGATAAAAAGAGACAAAGAGGAGATCAAGAACTGGAGGGGCACAGAAATAGATGCTTGGAGACACAGAAACATAAAGAGAAGGAAAAGGAGACCAGGGCACGCTGGGTCTGACACAGGCCAACAGGAGTACACCTGGGCAAGTGGGTGCGGGAAGGTTCTCACCCAGGATGCGGTACTGCAGCTGCCCGTTGGCTCCCACATCCGGGTCAGAGGCCCGCAGCGTGGTAAGGGTCTGTGGGTCCTGGCCCTCAGGCACCTCCAGGGAGAGATGGGCACTCCCAAAGGTTGGGGCGTGGTCATTCTCATCCTCCACAGCCACTCGCACTGTGACATGGGTCAACAGCGGAGGCGAGCCCCCATCCCGGGCATACACTATCGGGAAGCAAAATCAGTGAGATCCAGCCTGCTCCCATCCCATGGAGGAATCCACACCACATAGTGTTCACCAGGTGCACACAAAAATCAGAATATGTCCCACTCTCCACACCCCACAAGCACACAGGCACACATACATACAGGTGGTGGTGTGACAGAAAAGGCACTAAGTGAGGTAACAAAAGATCTGAGTTCAAGTCCCAGCTCTGCCATTTCCAAGTTGTGTTAGCCTAAGCAGGTTACTTAATCGCTTTGGTGCTCAATATCCGCTTGCTCCTCTGTTAAACGGCTGCAGTGTAACCTGAGGGAACCCTAGAGGGCACAGCTGCGACATTATGCATTTGAGAGTTAGTGTGATCACACTGGTGACAGCCTAGACGTCAGTTCAACTTGCACTCTGCCAAACTCTTGACTCCCCAAAAGGATTAAAAATATAATAGAGGGCTTCCCTGGTGGCGCAGTGGTTGAGAGTCCGCCTGCCGATGCAGGGGACACGGGTTCGTGCCCCGGTCCGGGAAGATCCCACATGCCGCGAAGCGGCTGGGCCCGTGAGCCACGGCTGCTGAGCCTGCCTGTCCGGAGCCTGTGCTCCGCAACGGGAGAGGCCACAACAGTGAGAGGTCCGCGTACCGCAAAAATAAATAAATAAAATAAAATAATATATATATAATAGAAACTGTGCTGTAAGCTTATAAAATGTACTTTGCGGGTCCTGCCCATGTAACACTGCTGTTTACAGCGCCTCAGGCTTTGGGGATCCTGCAAACGCGCACCTGTTAGATTGATCTCCTCCTGCTCCTCCCGATCCAGGGCCCGAAGAGTTGTAAGAACTCCAGTGTCTGGGTCCAGGGAGAAGCTTTCGCCAGAGATGCCTCCATAAGTCACTTGCCCATTGGCCCCTGAGGAGGGGCAGCGTGGGGGAAGATCAGAGGGTGAATATACCCTTTCTTGACCCAGTCCGTCCCTCTTTCAACCCATCCCCCCAGGCCTTACCCAGGTCTGGGTCGGTTGCCCGCAGAGTGAGCAGAGATGTGCCAGGCGGGCTGTTCTCACGCAAGAGGACGCTGTACTCCTGCTGTTGGAAAGTGGGTGCCTCGTCGTTGACGTCGGCGACACTGACAGTCAGGAGCTGCGTGGCTGAGCGCGGCGGGGAGCCGTGGTCGGAGGCCACCACAGTCAGCACGAACTCAGCTCGCTGTTCACGGTCCAGGGACCGCACCACGGACAGCGCTCCTAGTTGAGCGGTAGGGCGGGTTGGAAGGTAACCTCAACACTCGCCCCACATCAGCACCCTCCTCGTCCCCACCCCCACCCCCGGCCCAACTCACCGGTACTGGGGTGTAGCCGGAAGTAGCCGTCCCCGCCAGCTGCCAGGCGATAGGACACGCGTGCAGCCTCGCCCAGGTCCGGGTCCCGGGCTACCACGTGCAGCGCTGCGGGCCCCGGCGGCTGATCCTCAGAGAGGCGCACACGTGAGGGCGACGCAAAGACCGGAGCGTTGTCATTCTCATCCGTGACAAAGACGCGCGCGGAAACGCGTGCTGCGCGGCGGCGGCTGGCATTGGCAGGCCGGTCGGTGGCTTCCACGAGCAGCAGCAGAGCGGGAGTGGTCTCCCGGTCCAGGCCTCTCGGGGCGCTGAGCGCCCCGGTGCGTGAGTCCAGGCGAAGCGCGGGCACGGGCGGCTCCTGGCGCAGCAGACGGTAGCGCACGTCGCTGTTGGGGCCCGGGCCGTCGGCGTCCGACGCGCGGAAAGTGTACAGCGCCGCCCCCGGCTCTGGGTTCTCCGGAAGCGCCAGAGCCAGCGGGTCACGCGCGAAGGCCGGCGCATGCTCGTTCTCGTCCTGCACGCGCACCTGCACTCGCAGCAGCCGCGCGCCCGCGCCTCCCGGCCCCTCGGCGCGCACTGTGAGCGCGCGCCACGCCGGGCCCGCCTCGAAGTCCAGGGGCCGCGCCAGGTACAAGCGCCCGGAGGCCGCGTCCAGCGCGAAAGTGCCCTCCGGGTCCGCGCCGCCCACCAGTGTGTAGGTGAGTGCGCCCACTCCCGCCGACTCTGGCGGCGCCACCGAGCCCAACAGAGAGCCGGGCTGGAGGCCCTCGGCTGCTGTCACGGTCAGCACGACAGGCACAGGTGCGGCCGGGTCTGGGTCTGAGGGTTCCGGCGGAGGCTCAGCCGAGCGAGCTGAGGGAAGCACCTGTTGTGGACCCAGGAGGGAGTACGGAATCAGGCGGACCCATGTAAAAGGGAATCTGGACTGGCCTGCTGAGTAGCAGGAAGGGCGGTCAGAGTGGCCTGACTAGAGGAGAGGGTGCCCACACTGGTGACCAAGGAGACGTGGACAGATTGGAGGAAGGGCAGCCATACCTGCACCAGCAGCTGGAGGCTGGAGCTCCGAGGGGGGCTGCCTTGGTCGTGAGCACTTAGCGTCAGCACATAGTGAGGCCGCTCTGCTCGGGTCAGGGGTGCTGCAGTGAGCAGCTCCCCTGAGTGAGGGTGCAGAGAGAAGAGCTCTGAGCCAGGACCTGGGGACAGGCAGAGGAAGGGCGAGGCCTTGGGTTCCAGAGCTGGGCATGTCATGAGGGCCTGCCAGCACCCACCAACTCCCTTCTCTCCAGCCCCCGTACCAGTTAGCATGTACAGGATTGTTCCATTCTCCCCCTCATCCGGATCCCTGGCCTGCAGAGTTGTCACCAGTGTTCCTGGAGGCACACCATCTGGTACCTGTGGGAACACAACTCATCTACAGTTGTCTCCTTCCTGTTCTTGAGACAACTCAGGATGGAGTTCCCATCACCTATGTTCAGGCAGAGCCCCGTTTTTGCTCTCAAACCTGTTCCAAGACGCAGACTCTCTTACTTACACCTACAGTTCTAAGCAGAGACCCACACACCCTCTTACTTCTTCAGGGCAGAGTACTGCAGCTTCACATACCTGTACGGGGAGGCCCCCACCAGCAGCCCCTGAAGCCTGCAGGAAGGTGGGGCTGTTGTCATTGAGGTCGAGCACTGCAATGTGTATGGTGCCTGTGACACTGCGGGGTGGGCTCCCCCCATCCTGCACCTGCACCAGGAGCTGGTAGCTGCTCTGCCGCTCACGGTCCAGAGTTTGGAGTGTGGTAACCTCTCCTGGGAGTGCAGGACAGACAGAGATCATGTATGGGGTAGCTAGGGATGCAGAGCCTGAGGTCCATGAGAGGCTGGGGTTTGGGGAGTGTGGAAGGGAATGCCCAGGTAAAACTCTAGCTCAGTCCTGGTCCTCATGGCCAGGCTCTGGGGAGCGTGTCTGGGTGCTCACCCAGTCAGAGGATGAGGCTATGGGGTCTCAGATTTTGGGTCCCAGTGCTCACCAGTCTGGGGGTGGATGCGGAAGGCCTTGCTGTCTTCTGACAGCTGTCGCAGGCTGTAGGTCAGACGTCCATTGGGTCCTGAGTCTCGGTCAGTGGCAAAGACCCGGCCCACACTGGTCCCTGGGGGCTGGTTCTCAGCCACAGCCAGGAAGGTGGGCTCCTCAGACAAGCGGGGACTGTGGTCATTCTGGTTGAGGATGCTGACCCTCACGGTGGCTGTGGCTGTCTGCTGCCCCAACTCAGCTTTGGACCCAGACACTGCCATTACTTTCAGTGTGTATAACTCCTGGGCCTCACGGTCCAGTGCTGCTCGCACCCATAGCCACCCAGTCTGTGGCTCCAGGCCAAAGGGGCTACTTGGCCCATCTGCTGCAAGGCGGTAGGTGACAGGGCCCCCATCTGGTGCTCGAGCCTGCACTTGCAGGACTTGAGTTCCAGGGGTGGTGCCTGAGGGCAGGTCCACACGGTAGGTGGGGCTGTCGAAGTGGGGAGCCAGCCCACGGGTCCCCAAGTCCTGTACCACCACCCGCAGTCGAAAGTGGCTGGTGCGGGGTGGGGAGCCACCATCCTGGGCTTCCAGCTCCAGTTCATGGGCTGGCCCCCCTGGAGGCCCCAGAGGTCCCATAAGCAGTATGTGGCCTGTGGTGGGGTCCACAGTGAAGGCCCCACCACCCCCAGCAAGCAGGGTAAAGGTGACTCGACTGTTAACGCCTGAGTCGGGGTCCAGAGCCCGCAGTGTATAGATGGGAGTCCCTGGGGCAGTGCTTGGCGGCAGCAACACCGTGTCTTCAGGTGCAGGGAAGGCAGGGGAGTTGTCATTCACATCATCCAGCAGCACACGCACCCGAGCTACGGCGAAAGCCGGGGGCACTCCACTGCCTGCCCGTACCTCCAGCTCTAGCGCTGGTCCCAGCAGCTCCCGGTCCAGAGCTCGAAGCGTTTGTAACAGCCCTGTGGCCCCATCTAGGGAGAAGAGTCCTCGGGGATCCCCACCTGATAGGGTGAGGGTCACAGGCCCCAGGCGACCTAGGGAAGAGGAAAGAAGGGTCAGAAAAGAGATGGGGGGCACCTATTGAGTTGGAGCCCAGACTCTGATCCCCAAAAGGGCTAGGCAGTGCCCACACCTGGGCCTTTCGAAGTATTAGGGGGAGGGGCAGGTGTTGGCAGAGAAGCTGGGTGGCACCAGGGTGATATTCATGTACCTGGGGATGAAGCAGAGTGCCTGTACCATGCCCACGGAGGTGGCGGGGATTGGAACCAGAGTGTTTTGTATTGGGGCTATCAGTGGTGTGATACTCGAGGGTTATGTTGGGGTGTCTGGGTATGGCACCAAATGGATATAATGATAAGTGATACCTGATGGATTGTGTGCTTGGACTACACCCACACTGGTGCCTGGTGCCACATCCTCTGGCACAGAAAAGACATACTGTAGTTGCTCAAATACTGGTGGTATGGGAGTTCCGGGCACAATGCTGATGTTGACTCGGGCACTGGGCTCTGCCTGCAGGCCACCTCCATCCTGAGCCCCGATCTCCAGCTGCACCACGGAATTGGCCCGTCTGGCCAAGGGCCAGGCTACCGTCAACAGCCCTGGGAGGAGGGAGAAGTGGAGATGTATAAGGAAACAGAATAGAGCTGGAAAGGTTGGGGGGTGGGGGGCAGGCAGTACTTCATTTAGGCAGATGGGGAGGCAAGCCCTGGGAAGGTGAAGATCCTCACCTGAGCGCTCATCCAAGGCAAACAGTGGGGGGCTATTGCCAGCCAGGATGTGGTAGGAGAGTCGCCCATGGGGTCCCTGGTCAGGGTCATGGGCACGCACCCTCAGCACAGCTGTGCCTGGTGTACTGTGGGCGCTCAGACTGGCAGCATACTCCCGTGGATAAAACTGAGGTGGGTTGTCATTCTCGTCTGACACAAACACCTTCACATACACCATAGACTTGAGGCCTCCCTGGTGAGACATGCAGCCATTAAGTCAGGTGGCCCTTGATTGGCCCCGGTGAATGCCCTACCCCAGTCTGCCCACAGACTGTCCACTCACCCCATCCACAGCTGTCACTGTGAAGTCGAAGCTTGAGGGCCCCTGATCGCGATCCAGGGTCCGGGTCGTGCACACGTCGCCACTGTGGGCATCGATGCGGAATGGGGGAGACCCCGAGGCCCCAAGTCCGGCACCCAAGGAATAGGAGAGGAGGCCAAATGGGCCACTGTCTGCATCTGTGGCTGTCACCTGGGGAGAGGCTGGGGTGAGTAATGCCCCATCTTTTTGGCCAGAAAAGCCATAACTAAGTGGCAACTGGAAGGAGCAGGCCCTGGGCCAGTTGGTGCCCAGAGTCTTAGGATGGTGGACACACAGAAGGGACTAGTAGGACACGGGCCAAAATCCAAACCCAGCTCAGACCTCACCACTTGTGTTAGGTTCCTGTGAGACTCTGATCACAACATTTTTGTCAACTGGTCAATATAGAACTTTGTTTTATGTGTGTTTCTGTTTAAAGGCACCTTATTTAATATATATTGTTGGTTCATTAACACTGAATTCATGGCCAATGGCACAACTCATAACTAAATGAAACTTATCTAACACATGTATTTTCTCCATAAGGCACAGCACAGCCTTCTTGTGTTTAGGAAAACAGACATCACTTCAGCACTACAGTTGGGGGCAATTTTATACAGCAAAATCACCAAACAAAAAGCACAAAAATGCAAAAAACGTGGCATTAAACAGACCACGAAAAGGACCCTTGTTTACCATATAAGAGCTGTAACATGAAGGCAGAGCATTGCCTTGTTCGACCTCAGCCGGGAATGTGCTTGTTGAGAGACTTGAATTTTCCATCCTTCTGCACATGTCCGGGAATGACTGTGAAAGCTCCACGAGTATTGATTCAAGGGTTACAAATAGATTTTAGAGAGTTGGCGAATTCACAAATACAGAATCTGCAAATGATGAGGACCAACTGTACTTAAAAGGAGAGCGCTAAGGGCTGTGATAGCAAATTCCAGGTGGGTCACAGGGAGTTAATAACCATCGCCAAGTCTCATCATCACTCCAGTCAGAGAACTGGCTGACCGACAGAGTTATTGAGACTGATGTTATAGGCCTGCTCTTTATTGAGTTTGGTTATAAAGTGGGATCTGATTGGTACTCAGATCTGGTAACTGGAGTGATGAGGATCTGCACTATGAATTTATGGGATGTGGCTCATGCACCTTTAGCATCCCTTCATCTCTTAAGCCAACCTCATTGGAAATGAGAAAGGGAGAACTGCAGGTCTATAGGAAAATACCGAGGTCGTTAAGTTCCAGGGGCTCCCCAAAACTAAGAAATAGGGGAAGGTTTTCCTGGTGACTTCTCAGGCATCTCCCAGACTGGCTCAGGAAGAGTTTATGACTGGACACCAATGTCAGGAGCCTCTGAACATTTCAGAGCCAGATCAGCAGGAGACACCATTCCAAAAGCTTCTGAGCCTAGGACAGGGCCAGGCACACAGTAGGTACTCTATGTATATTTGTTCATTGAGTAAACAGACATTCAGATTGCCCTGCCTTACAACAAAAGCTTCTTTCAAACTAAGTTTTATAAATTGGGTGCACATTAGGCCCTCAGTAGTGGGTTAGCTGGTGCAGACTGCTGTAGCTTGTGACAAAGTACTCTTTGTGGCTACATGGGCCTCAGGGTCATGATATGCTGCAAAAGGAAGCTGGAGAGTTCCCCTTTCTTGGCCAGAAAATGTTGCTCAGAGAGAAGCCTAGCCAAGGACTTCTGATCGTTGCCCGGGCCTTTGACAGAAGTGATTTGTGCCATTGTTTACCCTCCTGAGAGACACTAAGACCTTGCCATGCTGAACCCTGGAAACAGCTCCTGCCCCAACTCTTTACTATGGCTGTGGGCCTGGATATCCCAAGAGACAAACTTCCCCCTGGATCAGTCTGGCGGGCTGCAGCACAGCTGCCGCACCGTCTCCAGAAGCTGTTAAAGACCTCTGCCCTCTGACCCGCTGCAGGAAGAAAGCAATAAATAGTGGTCAAGAGAAGTTGTCAGGAAGTGACCCCAAAAGGCGCAGGGGCCGTTGACTGGAAATGACCAAGGCAGAAGTGAATTTTCTGGCCTGTGCAGCCCCTGCTCAGAGGTCCTAGTGCAAATGCAGTCTCCAGTTTCAGCAGGCTCTCAGCCTTGCTACATAGTCCAACCTTGGTCAGCTCCCACTTCCAGCTCTGCCTGAAAGCTGTAACTAACCTCATCTCTCTCCTCTTGTCCCCCCCCCCCCCCCCCCCCAGCTCTCATCACATGCACTAGTGCAAGGAGAAAATAAAGACCCTCATCTGTGAACTCTCTAAAATTCCTAGCAGACCACAAACTTACTTCATCTGCCCCATGCTGACCTCCTTCCCAGGTGTCCCTCCTGCTTTGACACTTTGACACTGTGCTCTCCTGCTTCTCCACCCACTGCTTCCCCACTCCCAGCCTCCCTCCACCTCTCCTTACTCTGTCTGTTATACACTGTTGTTCTCTGGAATCTTTCCTTGGCCTCTTCTCATTCTGCACACGCTCAGGGCCTTCTCTTCCACTGCTGTGGCTTTGACCCTCATCTGTACTTTGACCCAGACCACTCCTCTGTGCTCCAAACTTGTACATCCAGATGCCTGCTCAACATCTCCACGTCCCACAGACACCTTAAATCCAACCTGTCCTAAACTAAACTCATGATAATCCCAACCCCTCTCTAATGATTCCTCCATCCACGCAGTTGCTCGAGCCAGAAATGTGTTCTTCCCTTTTCCTCTCTTGGCATATCAATCAAGCAGGGACTAAGTAAATCCTCATTATCCCTCCTACTTGTCTGTTGCTCTCCATCACCATTATCACTGTCCTGACTTGGGCCTGAGTCGTCTCTCCCCTGGACTACTCTAGCTCCCTTGTCATAGGCGTCTGACCCTCCGATCTGTCCTCCATACCAGGACTTCTCAACCTTGGCATGACTGACATTTTGGATCAGATAACTCTTTGTTGTGGTGCTGTCATGTGTATTATAGGATGTTGACAGCATCTCTACCCACTAGATACCAATAGATCCCACCAGTTGTGACAACCAAAAATGTCTCTAAACATTGCCAGATGTCCCCTCCAGAGGGCAAAATCACCAGCCGTTGTGAACCACCGCTCTACACTAACTAATAAAAGCATCTTTTGAGAAGACAAATATCATATTATTCCTCTACTCAGATATCTTCAGTGTCCCCGAAAGAAAAATGCTCAAACTCCTCGGCTTGGCTTGACTCCTCACTGTCTGGCCTCCTGCAGTCTCATCTCCCACTCTTTCATCTCACACCTTAAATTCCAGAGATACCGAGCCACTTGTAGGCCCTTGAACGAGTCAGACAAGTCAAGCTCTTCCACTTCTCTCTGCGTGTCACCTCTGCTTCAACCCTTCCCTTATCTCGTCCCCTCATCAGCTCCTGCTCATCTTTTAAGTCTCAGCTCAAAGGTCCTTTCTTTTGAGAAAACGTTCGAACTGCCTATCTGTACCTCATGAATATCCCCATATAGAAGCTTTTATTATTGGAATAAAACTGTTTCTCTGCATATGAATCTCACCTCTAGACTATAAACTCCATGAATTAGGTAGTGGTTACTCAGTCATTACTGTGTTCTGTGTCCCTAATACAATGACAGGCACGTGGCAGATACTTGATAAACGAATACTGAATGAATCAAATATTAAGACTTCTTGTAACAGTTATGAACACCCAACGGTCATTTTTACCCCTGCTTCCCTACGATTACTACTAGTAAAAACTCCAGGAAAGCACCTGGAGAGATGCCCTCTTGCTTCAGGCACTAGTGAGGAGGGAAGACGTTTGGAACCCACAGCCCATTGGTCCTGGGCCAAGAGGGAGAGTAAACACATGGGAGAGTGGGTGGGAGCTGGACAGCAGTAGGCAGGCAAGTACCCAGAGTCTGGCCAGACAGGAGGTCAGCCAGGCCTAGGCACTGGCTTGAAAGTCTAGGCCAACAGGCAGCTCCTAGAAAATGCTCAGGGATCTGCTGGACTTCTGAGACATAAAGACTTCAAGCACGAATCTCCTAAGAGACCACCCTGCCTCCAGTCTCCTCTCCTGCATCCATATTCCATGGGGCAGCCAAAGCAATCTTTCCAGAAGACATATCAGATTTGCCTAGAGCCTCTCAATGGCTCCCTGTGATTTCTAAAATAAAGTCAAAGCTTGTCAGCTGGTCCCTGTCTACTCGCTTGTCTCACCTCCCCATAACTCTTTCTCATCAGCACAGTCGAGGCCAACTTGAACAATGCAGTTCCATGAACACATCATGATGTTCTGTAGCTCTTTCTGTGGCCTTGGAGTCCCTGTCCTCATACCCCATGTTATCCACTTGGCAAAGTCTCATTGCTTCTGCAAAGGTCTGCCTCTAGGCTTCCATAGCACCTCATATGCAGCCTGATGCATTACTAGTTACTGGTGTGTCTCCTTGCCTAGACTGGGACTGGCCTGGGAATAAGACTGTTTCCTTTCTTTGTTCTCAGGGCCCAGCAGAGTGCCAGGCTTACAGTGGGTAAGTTAATTTTTGAATGTATCACTTACCATTGATCTAATCTCTCTTTCACCCTTAAAGCAAGTTAGCTTCCCAAAAAAAAAAAAAAAATACAAAAATGGGACTTCCCTGGTGGTCCCAGTAGTTAAGACTGTGCACTTCCATGCAGGGAGCACGGGTTTGATCCCTGGTCGGGAACTAAGTTCCCAAATGCTGTGTGGCACGGCCAAAAAACAAACAAACAAAAAAACAATCTGTAGTGAGGAGGGAGGGATGAATAGGTAGAGAACAGAGGATTTTTAGGGCAGTGAAACCACTCTCTATAATACTATAGTGTATGTCATTATATATGTCAATTATACATATACTTTATACTTTTGTCCAAACCCATAGAATGTACAACACCAAGAGTGAACCCTAATGTAAACTATGGACTTGGGTGACAATGATGTGTCAACGTAGGTTCATCTGTTGTAACAAATGTACCACCCTGGCATGGGATGTTGATAATGTGTGAGGCTGTGAGTGGGGGCATGGGGTATATGAGAAATCTGTACCCTCCACTCAATATTGCTATGAATCTAAAACTGCCCCCAAAACATAAAGAAAAAAAAAAACAAAAAACCAAATTTGATTATGCCTTTTCTGCCTCAAAGAAGTTCAGTGACCTCTTTTGCCTTCCAAGTAAAGCCCTAACCCTTCATGGCTTGGTGTCCAAGGACTTCTGCAGTTTGGCCTCAGCCTGCCTCTCCAGTTTCATGCTCCACCCATCTCCTCCAAGCCTGACTTGCGGGAAGTCTGTGGCCCCCACAGCCTGTCCAGGGCTCCTGCCTTTTCCTCTGAGGTCTTCCTGCTCTGGACATTGGGATCTCACTGGATACTTCTTGTCTCTCATCCTCGTGCCTGAGCCCAAGTGTCCCATCAAGGCTCAGTTCCAAGGGCAGGGATGGGGGTGTATTCCAGGACACCTCAGCGCTAGACTAGGGTTGGAGAGCTCTGTAAATGCTGGCATCTCCCTTGGGGAACAGGAGCCACATGGGTGTGCAGAATCTCCGTCTCTGCCCTGCAGAACAACTTTGAAACTTTAAAGAGTCCTCTCTCATTTCCTGCCACCACAGGACACATTTTCTCTATATCCAATCTTAATTCTCTCAACTGCCAAGATTACCCGGCTCAGCTCTTGTACCCTGCTTTCTCATCTTCTCATTAATCCTCACCCTCGGCACAGACCGTGCAGCTCATCGCGCAGGACCGAACTCTCTGGCATATGTCACCATCCACAGATGGCACCTGCAAGGCTTGGTTCCTGCTCTGAGGTCCCCTGTGACCCTCTGATCCACTCCTGCCCACAGAATCATCCTGCGCCGGGGCGGGGTGGGGGGGGGGCGGCTTACCCACCTGCAGGAAGCAGGTTCCGGGCTGGGTGCCCTCAGGCAAGGAGGCATTGTAGAAAGTCCTCTGGAACTGCGGCTCATTATCATTCACATCCTGCAAGGCCACACTCACTGTGGCAGAGGAGATGAGAGGGGGCAAGCCCCCATCCGTGGCCACCACAATTAGCTGCGGCTGTGGTTCCAACTCATAGTCCAGTGAAGCAGCTGTGGTGATGATGCCTGAAGTGGGGTCGATGGAGAACCAGCGGGTGTGGGCACCTGGGGCCAGGCTATAGGTGACCTGACCGTTGGTGCCCTGGTCAGGATCCCGGGCCATCACTCGCACCACGAAGCTGCCAGGCAGCGCAACCTCAGGCAGGGGCTCGGGCCGGTAGAGCTGGCGGTCAAAGGCAGGGGCGTTGTCGTTGACATCAGTGACATGCAGCACAAAGGCAGCCTCGGCTCGCAGCGGGGGTGAGCCTGAGTCTGTGGCAGTAACTCGCAAGTTATAGGCATCCCTTTCCTCTCGATCCAGCTGCCGAGCCACGCACACCAGGTAGATGACGCTGTCCTGGGTGCTGAGCGCAAAGTGGCCCTCTCCACCTTCCAGGGACACATTGACATGGGCAAAGTCACCATCATCTGGGTCTGACACAGAGATTCGAGCAACAAGCTGGCCAGGGGGGGCAGCCTCAGACACTCGGGGGGAGCCATCCGCACTCAGGAAGATGACAGTCATAGAGGGCTGATTGTCATTGGCATCTCGCACGTGCACGGTCACAAAGGCCGAGCCCAGCTCAGGGTGAGCCCCTCCATCCCGTGCCTGTACCACCAGTTCATGGACCCGCCGTTGCTCGAAGTCCAGTGGCCGCTCCAGCCGCAGCAGCCCCGTGTGTGCGTCGATGGAGAAGGGCCCGTCACCCTCGCTCTGCCTCCGGTTGATCTCATAAGTTACAGCCCCATTGGCACCGGCATCGGCATCGGAGGCATACACCTGCAAGACAGGACTGCCGGGGGCCAGGCTCTCGGACACCACAGCGTGGTAGCGGCTCTGATTGAAAGCTGGGGCATGGTCATTGATGTCCAGCAACGTCACGTCCAGTAGGGCCTGGGCCCTCCGGGGTGGTGAACCACCGTCGTAGGCCTCCAGTTGCAACATGTAGTGTGAGCGGTTCTCTCGGTCCAGCTCCCCGGTAACTACGAGCTCAGGCACTGGGGCCCCATCTGGACCGGGACGTGTCTCCAGCCGGAAGGTCTCTCCAGCCCCATCACCAGACAGCGCATAGCCCTGGGTTCCTAGGCGGCCAGCGTCTGCATCACGAGCAGGCTCCAGTGGGTAGCGGGTGCCGAGAGCGGTATGCTCAGGTATCTGCAGGACAGCTCGAGCCTGTGGGAAGGCTGGAGCGTGGTCATTGATGTCAGCCACTCGCACGGTAACTTCCACGGTGGCGCCATCAGGAGTGACTGCAGTGAAGCGGTAGCGATCCCGCCGCTCGCGGTCCAAGACCCGGGCTGTACGGACCACCCCGCTGTGTTCGTCAATGGCCAGGTCTGTGCCCACACCGCTGCCCTCCTGGGCGGAGATGAAGTACATGGGAGGTGCTGCTGTGCCCGCTGGAAGCCCTGCACTGATGTCCCCGATCAGTGTGCCCGCTGGCTGCTCCTCGTCAATCTGCAGGTCCAAGCTCCCAGCCTGGCCCCAGGCGCCCGACACCCCCGCGCCCAGGAGCAGCAGCAGTGATAGCAGGGGTAGGGGCCTGGGGCTCTGCATGCCTGGGCAAGAAGGTGCAATGCCCCGCTCCTTCTGCATGGCAGGGGCAGTCCAGCTGTGGCTTGGGCTCCAGCTCCAGGCCAGGCTCCGGGCCCAGCTTGATCTCAGGCTTTGGATCAGATCCAACTTGGACCCTGGCTCCAGCTCACGATTCCTGGCCTGGGAGAAAATCGGAAGCAAAAAGGTCATGATGGGGGAGGAATCAACCGTCCAGGCTGGGGTCTAGGCCACACCAGGACTCAAGCATGCTCAGTGCCCCCGCAGGGCCCTTGTGCTGCCTCACACCGTCTGGGGCCCAGGAAGCTCCTCAGGACCCACTCCAGTCTTTACCTGGCAGGTCCCATCCCACTCTGATTCCTGTCCCCCCTCCACCCCCCAGCAGATTGTTTTTTCCTATTGTTCAGACCTAAATGCCTTCAGACTCCCTTCCTTCCATCTGTAGACTTAAACGTGTGGCCAATTCTTTCTCATTTCTCTTCTCATCCGGGATTAATACCTCAATAATCATGTGCTTGGCAACCTCACCCGAATCTCAACAATGTCCTCTCTGCCAGAGCCCTCTACCAACATTTAACTATGCTGACGTCTCTCTCTCTTTCTCTCTTCTCTCTCTCTCTATAATATATATATAATCTCTTTCTCTCTCTCTCTATATATATATCTATATCTATATCTATATCTATATATATATACCTTTAGCCCTACTTCCCTCTCTATTTAACAAGAGATTGAGCACCTATTATGTGGAGGCACTGGAGACACCTCAGAGAATAAAGGAAACAGTCCAGGAATTGGACAAGTAATTAGGAGTGTGATAAGGACTGTGAGGGAGAAGTGCCGGGAGCTGTGAAGGCATAGATATAGGAGGGGCTTACCACAGTCAGGGAGTCAGGGAGTGCTTCTCTGAGGAAGCCACATTCAAGTCAGGATCTACTTAATGTAGGTATTTGCTAGACAATGGTGGGCGGAGAAGGGGGATACAGAAACATTCAGAAGAGGGAACTGAATGGGAGGCTTAGAGTCCGCAGTCAAGAAAGGGCTGAGGGTGTCGGGGCAGGTAGGGCACAACGTGTGTGAGGTGTAGAGTGCTGAGGCAGAAGGTATGAAATGGGGCAGGGGCTCGTAGGCCATACTGATGATTCTGACTTTATGCCGGGGACAAATGGAAGCCATGAAAGTATCTTAAGAGTGGGTGCTGCAATATGGCTTACGTCTTGTGAAGATCTCTATTGCTGCCCCTTTGTAAACAAGGATCACACAGATGGGAAGGTTATCTTAGGACAGCCCTTGTAACACACTTGGGGGAGTCCAGGTGAGGGTGAATTGACGGTGAATTGTATGAGTGTTAGCAATGAAAATGGGGAGAAGCGGATAGCTCTGCGGGACGTTTCGCAGGTAGAACAGGCAGGACTTGATGATGGCTTGAGGCAGGGGATGAGGGAGTGGGAGGAGTCACGGATGATGGGCAGATTTCGGGCCTGAACCATCAGCTGGACCAAGGCAGCCTTAACTGGCCAGAGAGAGAGACAGAGAAAGAAATCCAGGGAAGGGCGATGCCTCTGTGGCTAAGGGAGCCAGGGCTTCAAATGCTGCTGACGTTCAAGAAGGAGGAGGCCTAAAGCCCCATGAAGGCCTTTAAGGACTGAGTGAGAGCAGAATCCGTGGAGACGTTGCCCTCTCTGAAAGGTTTGTTCACTTCCTCCAATTTCTCACCTCTCACCCCCTCCTCCATCTACACAGAGAATCTTCCTCTCCTGTGACACTGCTTTCACTAAGCTTCCAGTCATCGCTGTACTCTACATCCGATGGACACATTTTTATCTCCTTGCTGGATCATTCTGGAACACTGAAACACTGATCACTGGCTTCTTGAAGCCTAGCCCTCCTGGCCTCCCATGGTGACCCCCCACCTCTTGCTTCCATTGTACTTCTGTGTCCACTCTTCAGTCCCCTGGGCAAGTTCTTCCTCTGCCCTTAAAAACTGGTGCTCCTCAGGACTCAGTCCAGGGCCGCATGTTTTCCCACTTACCACACTGCCTGGGTGATCTTAGCCACTCCCGTGCCTTCAATTCAAATGTATCAGTCATCTTCTGTACCGTCTATTTGCTGATGACTTTACAATCTCCAGCTCTGGAGAGCACTGGAGACACATGTCCAGCCATACAATGGACTTCCTTACAATGTATTCCCAACCTTCACCTCAACCTGATTTTCTTCCTCCATTCCCTTTCCTGTGAACAGCACCACCGCTCAGAAACTCTCCTTGCTTTCCTTGCTTTTCTTCAGTCCTGATTTCCAATTAGTCTTCAAAACCTGACCATCTTAACTAGACATGTTTCAAGTCTGCCCTTTCCTATGTTTTCACACTGTTGCTGTCCCAGTCCAAGCACTGTCATCCCTCTTTTCGATTCCTGCCACAGCCCTTCACTGGTCCCCATGCCTCCTGGATTGGACCCTCTGATCCATGTCCGCCTGGCCAGAGCTATCCTCACAACTCTCACCAAACCAGTCGCGACAAAAGGCTTCCACTGGTTTGCCATCACTTGACGGCAGAAAACTGCTGCCCATTATGGACAAAACAATGCAGATGTACCTATACCCAAACTGTCTGCAGTTTCACGGGTTCAGGGACACTAGGTATAGAACTTCTCTTCGCAAGACAAAGCCCAACCTCCTTAATATATCTTACTGACCTGAGCCCTGCCAACCTCTCCACTGTGCCCCACATTCACCTTCCCCCACTGCACCCTGCATTCCAACACTAAACCCATCACCCGATCCTTCCCAACTCCTTGCCTTGTATGTACCATGCTTTTGTCCTGAGATATCCTTTAAAAGTCCTGTCCAATTGGCCATCCCCTACTCAAACTTCAAGATCCCATTCAAACATCCTGTCTTCTGTGGACTCTTCTATGATATCTCTCTGACCTCCCTGCAGTGCCTACGGTATCCCCTACTGGGCTCTCACTGCTTTAGATGCACACTGACAATAAATTGCACAGCAGCCCTGATTTGTTCATGTGTCTGTCCATCACACCCCTCCCCCTCCACCGAACTGAAAGCTCCTTGAGGACAGCAGCTTGAGGGTCTTAGTTAGTTTCTGGTTCTCCAGCAGTGCCTAGAGGTATCACGAGAGCAGGCAATCAGTGCTGAACAAATGTGCAGAACCTCATAACTGCACACCACCCCCCTCACCTACTGACACAGGGAGAAACGTCCCTGGACACGCCAACTCAGACAACACACACAGACACGTGTGAGCCCGCGCCCCTGAGGCACCATGGTCAGGAGTGTGGCTGTAGAAATGGCTGCAGAAGTGTGTCCTTTGGTCTTTCTAGATTTGCTCTGCTCTAGGACTTCCTGTCCTCCCAGGGGATGAGAGTTTCTGACCCTCTACTTACACTTCCAACCCCAATGTCTCCCATCTGTGTGAGGCAATGAAAAGAGCTGGGACTCTGGAGTTTGAGCTGGCTTTGAGTCCAATCTGAGTGTTATTTTCCTAATCTATATAATGGCCATGTTAATGCCTACTTTGTGGGGTTTTAGGAGAATTACAGGCAATGGAAACAAGGAGCTCAGAGTTGGGCATTTGGTAGATGCTCTCTCCTCGGTTCCCAACACCATCCTTGGCTTCAGAGTTCTTGGATTTACTAAGACCCCTCTCCCCAAGGCTCAAGTCTGTGAAGTCTGTGGAGCTTCCACATGGAATAACAGATCAGAGGAATTCAGAACAAGAAGGTCAGAGTAAACACAGGCCTGACTCAGAGAGGGGAGAGGCTGTGTGTAGAGAGATGGTGCAGTGGCCAGGGCAGGGATCTAGGCCTAGAGACTGGGTTAGGAGTCAAGGGTTAAGAATTGGTCCCATTCATTTAATCAGTCAGTGGAGAGAAAGCAGAGTGGGGATAATGGATAGTGAGGTCAATGTACTTCTTACATTCTATGTTAGGATTCTTTGTCCCCAACCCAGAATGTCAGCTGTTTGAGGGCCAGGACTGTATCTTATTCACCTTTGTGTGTAGCACAGAGCATGGCACATAGCACATGATCAACACATTTTCTGAATGAAAGGATGTATGAATGGTATGAGATAAAACTCAGGTGAATGATCAGCCTTGAGGAGGAGGGATTCAGGCCCAGGCAGATGTCCCTTCTCCCAACCCGTGTAGACCCTGGTGCCCTCCTGGGTCCCTGTTCAATGCAAACTCCCCCATACACCCTCACAGTGGATGCACAAAGGTGCCTACTCATGAAGTCACAGACCCACACACAGCCAGGCACACAGATGCACAGACTCACATGCAGACAGGCACACTCAACACACACACTCACATGGACAGGAGCTACTCTAACATACACAGAGACACCCAACCTCACAGAGGAGCATGTTATCACTCACACAGATGGGCATGTTCATTCACCTGGAACCTTCCCCCACCCCACACACACGTGCAGGCACACATGGAAACACACATAGGCATGCTTTTGCCCACACAGACACACACACACAGAAAGACACTTTCTCGTGGGCCTCACACAGACAGGCGCGTGCGCACACACACACGCACACATACACACAGGCACACTCACACCCCCTCCCTCTCACGGACACAGACAAACCACTTTCACCCCTGCACAGACTCACGCTGGCAGGCCCGTGCACACACTTGCAGACGCACCCACACGCCGGCATGCTCTCACACACACTGTTGGGGCACTCGTGGTCAGCTCTGTGGCTGCAGCTGTGACCTCGAGGTCCCTGGGGCCTGTCTGGACTATGCTTCATCACTTCCTGCTCCACGGCTTCTAGTTCCAAACTCGAACTCCAGACTCTCTCCCGAGACTGTCTCATCCCCTCTCCAACTCTCTTCTCAGCACCATCTCCCCATCTGTCCACTGTTTCTCACTGCTTCTTCCCCAAGACTTGCTCCTCCTCTCTGTTCCTGTCTCTTTCCCTCTCCAGGTTTGTCCCATCCCTTCCCCCAGACCTGGCCTAAGCCATCCATCTTGTCTCTTTCCCCAATCTGTCCTGCCCCCTACCCAGATCTATCTTCTTTCTCCCCCCAGATTGGTCACATCTCTTCCCCCACCCAGTTCTGCCTTGCTACATGCCCTCACCCTGTCCCGGTCCTGTTACTCTGTCCTCAGGCTCCATCCTGCTC